GGAGAGANAAGAGCGATTTGGGAAGGGTGCTTCACATTGCAGCTTATTTACTGGAAAAAGCAATTTTGTTGTTTTCCCAGGGTGGGGTATTTGCACACTTTTTTAAGCCCCACTGTGAGATTTTTTCAAAAAAGAGTGACAAATGCCCACCAAATGCCTGGGGGGGCGGGGAAGGGGGTGAAGGGTAAACTTGAAAAAAAATAACAAATTCCTGACAAATGTCCAGGGGGGGATTGGCACACTTGTTAAAATTACTGACCGGGCCAAAATTGTCACAATTTGATTTTTTATGCTAATCAATCACAAATTGAAGTAAAGGTCGTGATTTGATTGTATCCTTGAGATATGAGGTTAACCTTGATTAAATTAATAGTTTAAACCCAAAGGAGAGATATGATCGTCCAGGTGAGAGCAGTCTTGCACATGACGTCACGGCGGCCAAGATGGTGGCCAAGAATAAAAGCATTTCTCTCCCCTGGGAACTTATAAATAACTCTATTTTCATGTAAATTTTTCGAGGAAAAACTCTATTGTATTGAAGCCGCAACATGGCCGCCTTGTCACGTAGTTACAAGTGACAGTGACCACATGGTGTTTTGACAGTCATGTGCAGTAGTCATCTTCAAGTAGAACGCACGTTATTACACTTTAGTACAGACTGAACAAGTAAGACATTCGACTACACTGGATTATTGACCAATATTTGCTACATCTTTACGATACCTGGCCGCGCAACTTGCTTGTAACAAAAGGAATTTTAAAGCCCATATCTCTCAAGATTACGTGGAAACGAAGAAAATGAAATTTAACGATCCAATCTAGATCTATTTTGATGATGTGTTTATAAATCTAGCTAAACTTAACATTTATTGTTAAAATATAGTAAGCTTTTATGTCGTTTCAAAAGAAAGAAAGTCAAAATGTCATGAGCATAAAGCTTAACCAAATAACATTAAGTAAATGATGAAAGACGTCAAGGAAAGAACAAAGCGAAATTTAAGTGATTATCAGTTCGTGATCAGATCAAGCAACAGTGTACGACAAGAATGAAAGAGTAAGACTTTTTTGAAAGAAATCGCAGTCACTGGATTCATTGCAGACCCGAAAGGCAGACCGTAGCTGGGCGCTCGGTTGTCTCATTAAAAATTTAGAATTTTCGCCACTTAAAATACAATGTTTTCTTTCACATGAGTCTAATTCCTTACCTCCCCTTTCTTAAATAATCTCCCATAGCAACAAATGCAAAAATACTGTTCCATTTTAACCCATCTTGAGCTTCAAATATTCGCCGAGTACCGTAAAAAATGCTTTGTTGTCTGTCGATTGTCTGTCCGTTCTGCCGTCCGTTCTTGTCCCGTCTTTCTCGTTTAAGCTACTAGTTCCCATTCCTTCCCTGTATCACGCGCGTAAAGTGCATCGGCGAGAAACGCACCCCCGCCCGGCGGGGTTGGAACACTTAGTGTAGTAGGGGCCGCGAGCCTTTTTTAAAAAAAGAGTGTCAATGTTGGCTTTTAATAATAAATCTACATGTGTGGTAACAAGAATTGTTTTCCAGCAACATCTAATTCTATGATGTCAGTTTACAGGTACCCCAAGCTCACGAGTGAGCTGTTGCGTAACAGAAATTATTATTATTATGGAGATTTAAGCGATCGTTACTATTAAGTTAGGGGTCAAAATAGTAATAAAAATTAATCAGAATTTTCTTACCTTGTCTCCTTGTCTAAATTTATGGTGTTTTCTTAACATTTTTGGCCGTTTCAGGGCGACCGGGGGCGATTCCAGCTAGGCCTTGGTGGATTCTTGATGATGATCCTGCGAGAGAGAGTGCTCCTAAAAGTGGCATAATGCCACCAGTGCTCGAAATTTTGCCAAATTATGCCAAAATTATGCCAGAATTCCCAAATTGTGCTCCTGTTTTCCGAAATTATGCTCACAAAATGACGTAGATTCTGTACATATAGGCGCTCAATAACGACACCAAATTTAATATGATGTTTTTCCGTAAACTGTTGTTGTAAATTTATTTGTGTTCAGGAGCCGATTACTCCTGGCTAGCACAATCCGCTAAGGCCTAATTCCAGCGAGTTTTAAAGTTCTGCCGTTGTTCGAGCGCAAGGGAAGGTGATTATTCGAGGGAGGCGATTATTTCATATATTATTCACTGGAAGTAGTGGCCTAAATATTTTGTTCTATTTCCCCATAATCAAAAAATAATCGCATCAAAGAAACTGAACATGGGCTTTCTAAGTGTTTCAACTTTGGTTCTTTGATTAAAATTTTCATGTTGGATCTTCGGCTTCGTCACAGATCAGTTTTTCTAGATCAGACTGCTCTTCAAAGACTCATCCTCCAAATTTACCGCTATGGGTGTCGATAGTGGGTTACCTGTAGTGGTGGGAGGCGGGGACGATTATTCGAGGGAGGCGATTAATCGAGGGACGGCTATTACGGTATTCGAGGAAATAAGGTATTCTTTTCCGGCGTCACAGTGATATGTGTATCCCCGTACACATATCCCTAGTGATATGTGTATCCCTCCAATAAAACAAATGTCGGTTTTATTTCTGTTGTTTTTGTGAATTTTGCGAATCATCGTCAAAAGGACTACAAATGATTCAAGATTACGAGCAACACAATCGACAAAAGAGCAACGATTCGAGACAAAATAATCGCAAAGCTGTCTCTGGCGAGTTTTCTTCGTGGGCCGCAATGTTGATGTAAACATTCGTTCTCGCTCCTCTCCTTATCCAACGTGATTATAATTCATATGTCACTAGTCGCGTTAAATAAGTATGACTGACAAAATTTCATTCAGCAAGGGATAACTCGAAAAGTCAAAAAATAGAGAGGGGATACACATATCTCCGCGCTGGTCCAGTGATATGTGTATCCCTTCTGCGAGCGCCACAATATTCCACCTTCGCATGTTGTTTGATTCCTGTCTTAACCCTAGTTGTGTTACTAGTTATGTTAGATGATATCGACGACATTTCCTTTAGCAAGAGAAGATATTTCCTTATTGTGTCGTTGATGAGCATCAGTGTTTATTGTATCCCCACCCGGGATACACATATCACCAGGGATATGTGTACACATATCACGGGGATACACATATCACTGTGACAATGGGTCGTCACGCAACAGTGTTTCTCTTTGCCTAAAAAGGAAACACCACGTGCCCAGACAAGACTTGTCAAAATACAACTGGTCTATTTGCACAGAGAATGATTTGTTTACAAAAAGAATGCTTATATTATCATACGACCTATTGTTAAGTGATTATTCAAGCATCCGTTTCTCGGAAACAGAAACAAATTTCAGGTTGAGCGGAAATTCCCGGAAAAATCTGATGTCATTTTAATCGCCTAAAAATTGCTTAGCGAAGCAATTTTCATCAGCAAGCTACGCGGGAACTGAAGATTTTATCCCTGTCTTCCAGTCAACAAAAAATGTAGATATTTTTGTTTGGAAAGGGAAAGTCGATAAACTGGTGGCCAGTCAAAGAGATCTTTTGTCACTTTTACTTGTAGCCCTCGAACAGCTGATCGCCGTACTAAGTTAAAAGTGAATTTGTCAAAGACGTGACCCTAACTGTCTCTTGTTGAAAGAAATTGGTGATCATGGAAAGCGAGGACAGCGCCGAGAATTCCTTAGCCTCGGAAACCGAAACAGAAACCCAACCGGAAGATAGAAATGTCGAGCTGGGATTCACCGCTCGCCCTTACCAAGTAGAGTTGCTGGAAAGATCTCTAGAAAGAAACACAATCGTTTGTCTCGGAACGGGAACTGGAAAAACATTCATCAGTGTAATGCTAATAAAGGAACTCTCACACCAGATCAGAGAAACCTACAAAAACGGTGGAAAAAGAACTTTCTTCCTTGTAAATACAGGTTAGAAATTACGCTTCAGATTGTTTACGTTTCGGTATAAATGCTAGGGGTGGAGTAGGGGTTTGTACGATTTTTAGGGGTAGGGAGTCAGTGAACTTTTCGTTCACACCAAAATGTCTGCCGCCGTGCGATGAGTGCAATGTCGTCTTACAATATACACGATCTGACATTGCAGTGGATGGAAATTTTTTTTTTACACTTGCAAGACAAGATAAGATGACTTTATAATATCGCATCAGAATATCTCTAAATTGACAGAAAACGCGTAGCCCCAACTGAGGAACTTAAATACTCTCTTAGCTTAACGCTTATGTTCTTTAAGTTTCTAATTTCCTTGTTATTTTATATGATCATGACATTTTGTAGTGTGAGCATTCAGAACAGTTTTGGTGATATAACTTAACGGGCAGCTCTTTCCTCTGAAGCTTTCTACAACCATGATTTTAAACAATGCCTATTTGGGGATGCAGGCCATCCTGAGGGCAACTTTTCGACCGGGTCTGGGGGCCCGTTTCTCGAAAGTCCCGGTAACTTTACGGGCGCGAAATCAAATATTCAATTCGAAATATAAAGAATAAGAGCGCGGGTCCTGGCTAGCGAACAACTCCATTTTGTTTCATTAACTGACAATTTTATCGTGTTGTATGGAAAACTATTAAAACATCGATCTTTAATGTAAACGGAGACAGCTTACCGGGCCCGTTAATTATCAGGACTTTCAAGAAACGGGCCCCTGGAAGGGGTTTGCGTGACCCGTGAATTGACCGGTAAACAGAGCGTGGATCGGGCAAACTCATGAAATACAGAGAGAATCAGAGAATTGCTAGTTTGTTGGTCACCATTCTTTTGGTTTTCTTCCCATCACAAGGTCATTTATGCCTATAGTAGTCCAGCAACTACCAAGCTAAGAATAACTGATGGACCTGATCAGTGCGTCACCTAATGACGTGATTCGTGAAGTGATTCCAAATAACGCAATTCGTGAATGTATGGAAATTTTCCCCGTGATTCAAGATCCAGACACCCCCTTCCAGACCCTGTTTCAACATGCTGTTTGAAATGAGCTAATCACAACCGATACAAGTTCCGAGTATCATACTAGTGGCCTTTCATTAGGGGATTTCAATCCACCTTGTTTGCCTAGGATGTTGAAAGACGGATGTTAAATGATAGCCAACAATGTGTAACAAGGAAAGAGGCTGTAAAAAAGTGGGTTCAGGTTACCTTAGCTAATATCTTTTTATTTTTCTCAGTTCCTTTAGCCAGCCAGCAAGCTAAGGTGATTAAGATACACACAGATCTGAAGGTGCGGCATTATGTTGGTGAGATGGGAGTCGACTTCTGGGATAAAAAAATATGGGAAAAAGAATTCAATGACAACAATATTTTGGTGATGACTGCAGAGATTTTTCTCAATCTTTTACTCCACAGTTACATAAAATTATCACAAGTAAATCTTCTGATCTTTGATGAATGCCATCATGCCACAAAGAATCATGCCTACAAGCAGATCATGGAGTGCTTTGTTGACTGCAAAAAAACTGACCATCCAAAGATCATGGGTCTAACAGCATCTATAGTAAATAAAAAGGTGAAACCATGGAACATTGAAACAGAAATGCGGGAGCTGGAATGCACACTAAGGTCAACGTGTGAAACAAGCCAAGATGAAGAAGTTGAAAAGTTTGCTGCAAAACCAAATGAACTGGTCTTGACATTTTCAAATGCCACCATTGATGACAGCACAAAGGTGTTAATTCAAATACTTCAAGATGTTTTGAGTCCAGGGAGGGAATTTCTTTTTGATTGTAAGGTGCGGCGTGAGGGTCCTTCAGGGAATGCTCACTGGTATGCAAAGTATACATTCAGAGAGTGTCAAGAGACCTTATCAGAACTGGGTCCCTGGGCAGCCAACAAAGTTGCGGGTCACTTAATCAAGGATCTGGGTATGGTGCAATGTCTTTTACTTGTGCTGTACTTAGTAAATAAAATTGATAAAAATACTCATGGAGACTATAAAATATAATGTGCCAAGGTTGCCACCCAAGCCCTCCTTGCACTTTAAACTTCTGGGTCCAGTTGTTCGAAGTCCAATTAGCACTTAATCCAAGGTTAAATTTAACCCAGGTTTTTTTTCTCTTTTGTTCAAAAGCATTTTTTCGGATAATTTTCTCTGTTATTTTTAAGAGCATCCAATCATCAACTCATTGACAAAAAGAATCAAACTGAATTTACTTTTTAAGCTTTTATATCTGAATTCAAATTTTACACTAACCCTGGGTTATCTTAACCCAGCTTTGAACAACCCGGCCCTGGAAGAATTTGTGAGGTTGTATACTGTTGTACTCAGCTCAAACCATCTTTCAGCCTATGCCAAGTCTAATAAATGGAAGACTCTGTTTGAACTAAAACGAGTTAAAGTAAGTTAATATTGAAAAATAATAATTCTAATAATATTATTAACCTTTAACCTTTATAGAGAGAGCATGCATATTTCAAGACAGCAAGGAAGGACGAATGCTTTGTGAGTTTAGTGCAACACAGCTGCGACTACTACAAAGTGTGTATCACAATTACACATCTGCTGGCAGTGAAGATGCTGGAAGCACTGAAGAGTTCTACATCATGCCTAAACTACAGCTGCTGCTGTCTGTTTTAAGAGAATTTGGGAATTCACAAAACAGTGGTAAGATATTTCAAAGTTAATTCTCGTACTTGTAATAAAATGCTTGGTAAAACAACTGTCACAAAAATGACCATCCTCCTCCTCAAAATTTGGTTCCACCATTTTTGAGGAAATAATATGCCGGTTGACATTTAACCCTTATTTGCAATAAAATATATAAATGGGAAGTAGACAAAACGAAATAATGCAATCAATGCTTTTGTACGTGGACTGTGGACAGGACCCTTGCCTCACCACACCTGCTCCCCCCCCGCAACCCCCCAAAAAGGAAAGAAAATGTTGGGCTCATTTTGTTCTCCCTCTGTGATCTTAAGGGTTGCTTCAAAATGGTTTTGTTTGATAGGAATTGTACAATAGTTGTGTAATGCACATGGGCAAACAGCCTGAATTTCAGCTGTGTCCTCCAGACGCAGGCTAGTTCTGAAGTCTCAAAGCTCTTAAATTGTGGTCTTGCTAAAATGGACACCAAATTTCGGCTTTTCTGTGACTGAAGGTCCCTTTGTGAAAACAGAACTTGTTAATTTGCTGGCTGACTGTGAAAAAGCTCCTTGACGTCAAGATGTACATTAGCATAATAATAATCATCATCATCATCATCATCATCATCATCATCATCATCGTCCTCATGTTATTGATTTATAGAGAACGAGCTTTGTGGCATAGTCTTTGTAGAAAGGCGATACACAGCACTGGTCCTCAGTAAGCAGATTAACATTGCTGCAAATCTGTATCCTGAGCTCTCTTTTATCAAAAGCAACTTTGTGATTGGACACGGCACGGGAGGGAAAGTTAATTACTCCAATGAAACAGAGAGGAACTTCAAAAATCAAGTAGAGGTGTTGCGACAGTTCAGGCGACATAAATTCAACCTTTTGATCGCAACTTGTGTTGTTGAAGAAGGGTTGGATATCCCAAAGTGC